TGGGAGCATCTTCTTGTCCTGTGACTGCTTCTTGACCTTTTCCCTCTGCAGGTGTACACTGATGTAATGTAGCTCTGGGCCACATGTAGGTTTGTGCAACCTGGACCTGCGCTGCATTTGTCTGGGCCCCCTTATAACAAGCCACAGACTGGAGGAGGCACGATCTCTCTCGCACTGACTCGCCCCCTTTGGTGTACTCCCCTGTAAAGTGAGTAATAAATGGCATGTCCACATCTGCTAGTCCGACGTGTGCTTTTTAAGGAATATCACAAATACTTACACAACAACCAGGTTTGGAGCTCCTGCATATATTATCTCACTTCATCCTAACTATTATGTGAGACGACATGTTGTCGTCTTCATCCTACAAATCAGGAAATTGAACGTTAGCAAGGTAGTAGTCACAGAAACAAGACTCACATTCTGATCTGTTTGACTCAGAGTTCAGGGATGTCTCCATTACATTCTATTTAAATGATCTCACTCGGTGCCAAGATTGCAGAGAAAGTTGCATGAACTTCATGTAGAAGGTCAGACACTTGGTAAGAAAGGTAGCTTAAAGGAAAGTTTACTAAGTGAACCGAAATGTTTCATGCCCTCCCATTTTCCAGCTTTCTGGTGACCTCTTTATGTTCTCCTTTTACGCCCAGATTGGTACTTGGCATCTTTAATAACTTAAATGAAGTCATCCACTACTAAAACACAAATGAACTCATTACTGTTAATATTAATTAGTGCCGATGTTCAAATAATTCATTAAGCCAGCTTTGCAATTTGAGAGACTGGTGTAAGAATCACTGAAAAATAAAATGGAAAGGTCTGAATGGAAAATGTTAGTTGTATTTGATGAATCTGGCTATATTTTGGGTTTTCTCTGTGGGGTTTTGGGGAAACTTCTGTAGGCAAAATGTATCACAAATTATGCATGTGCTGCTTCAGAAATTAATCATGAGAACTATGAATACTGCAATGTTGAGAATTTCAACTCTCTAAGCAATATTTCATCTTCACTTGCAAATATATGAAGAAAACAAGTTGATATTAAAGTTTTCTTTTTTTAATGTATGACATTGGAAGACTACTTTATTAATATATATACACATTTTTTTTTGCAAAAGGAAGCGTCTTAATTTTCACTTAACTTTTTCTCCAATATCAGCCATGAAAATAAATTACAAGGAAAATATAGTTCCACATTTTGTTGATCATTTTTCTTTTTTTCATATCTTTTTCCCTTTGGCCAGGAAATGAAAGATAAAGTAATAAGGGAGAAGTGGAAATGTCTGTCCATCTAGAGCATTTGGATTTTTATAGATCATCTTCATCAAAAATTTAAATCTCAGTGTTCTATCTGAAACATTTATCTCAAAGTCAAAACTTTATAATATTAACTTTTTAGATCCCTCAAAATAGTTATGACATGGTTATTAATTTCTATGGAAAGAAAAAACATATGTGAGGGACAACTCGTAAGATGATTCATTCAGCAACGAGAATGTTACTAGCAGAATTGTGTTGGATGAAAGAAGTTGAAGGGGAACAGAATTTTTCATCCCCAAACATACCTCTTTGGCATATTGGTTTTTGTGAACTGGTTACTTTTAAAAAACAGGGGACACAGATGAAGTTTGGAAAACTGAGTAGATGTTACCCTTTTCTAAGGGACATTTCCATTTATAAAGGAAATCTCCTTTTGTAAGGGTTTTTCCCTCTGAACCAGGAAGAGAAGGATGACTCTAAATCTCTAGAAAATATTATCAATGGAGAACAGTTAATGATATAAATGACACAACTGAATTAAAAACCTTATACTTTTTTACTGTGTTTTTCCTGAAAACCTCCCATAATTGCCCCCTTCCCCTCCAATATCTATCTTTTGTCCTTAGCTAAAAACAGTATTTAAAGTGGTAGCCTTAGGCATTTCGAGGACTTTCTCAGTTTTCCTTGGTTTCACCCTTGTATACAGGAGGTATTCACGTTATTATAATTGTTTGTTTTTCTCCTGTGAATCTGTATTGGATTACTAGGGGTCTCAACCAAGAACTACAAGGGTAAAGGTAAAATTATTTTTCCTGCCCTGGCTGGTGTGACTCAGTGGACTGAGCATCAGCCTGTGAACCAAAGGGTCACCGGTTCAATTCCCAGTCTACAACACATGCCTGGGTTGTGGGCCAGGTCCCCAGTAGGTGGCACGCAAGATGCAACCAGACATTGAGGTTTCTCTCCCTCTTTCTTCCTCCCTTCCCTTCTCTATAAATAATAAATAAAATTATTTTTCCTGCCCTACACAGCCTCAGCTTTTCAAGTGTAAAATGGGAATATGATGTTGCCTACTTAAATAGTTGTTATATGGATTAAATGAGGTAATTAAGTATTTAGCCTTGTGCCTTACCTTACAATAAATGTTTAGTAAGTGCTAAGTGGATGAAGAAATAAATGCATGTGTGAGGACTAAACACCATGGAGAGGACTAAGAGGACACCTTTGAGGAGTAACAGTCTAGTTTGGGAGGCAGAAAGGTGTATGTTACAAATAAATGCCAACCATATTACAAATTCCTTACCAAGAACTTAGAGATGGTAAAACACTGCATAATAATTGAGGACTAGTCAGATTGGATGGTACAACATGGCAATCTGGGCAGACCAATGACCTTGCAAAGATTATCAGGTGCTTCTTTTCTTATCAGAGTGTAAAATAAAATTATATTTTTGGCGGTCTTCAATGAAACATAAAGAAATTAACCCACTTTTGTTTCCCCTCTTTACTCTTTCCAGTTAGCAATCTGAGGTTTAAATGCACATTACACGTATATAATATTGGCAAATTTCTTCTTATAAAATTACTACTACTTTCACTGTCATGTTTTGTTTTTTGACATTTGCAGTAAATATTGTAATCATATTTACAGCAATTGTTCTAATATCATTCTATATTTAACTGGATTCATCACTTACTGCTAGTACTTGAAACCAATTTTCTTACACATATATTTTAATTTTGTTCTATCTTTAAGTAATACTGAGTATTAAAACATTTTTTCCTAAGAATTTGAGTGGCATACGTTCCAATATTGTTCCTACTTTCATAATTTGAACAAAGATTTGAATAGATTTTTAATATTTGATCAAAACCTTTTTTCCATAGAATTGGTTTTCAATTTTTCTATTAATTCCCATTGAAAATCTATACTTAGTACCTTAATATTTAAAATAAATAAATTTGAATAATAATAATTTAAATTTGTTTAGATAACATAGGTTCCTTTTTTTAACACTCTGGTACGAATAAACTTCCCTCATCCTAGGAGTATCTGAAAATTTAACACTCGAACATGCCCAGATTAGCAGAATATTCGATCATACTTTCACTGACCCCATGGTATTTCTTACTTCATATGTCAAAAACCTTCTAAATCTTTACTTTTACCCAAAAGTCCAACCTCGTGTTTGTCATTTAACCCTACAAGCCCAATCAAGTACCTGAAAGAGTAGTAGACTCAATTTCTGTTACTGTTTTTAGTACCTTGAAATGTGTACATATCAAACATCTGTTTTCCTGTATTTAGTATTGAAGAGTCTGAGGGCATTTTAACATTTGTAGGCAGATTTTATTTTTAAGACGTACATTTCTTAAATTTATCTTTATAATTAAAATTTTTACCATGATGGGTCTTAATGAGGGCATTTTTATTATTTTGCCTGATTATTTGACCCTTTCCATTAGTTCCATAAGTCTTGTACTCAGTGTTGTTAGGAGGTATCTTTTTCTAATATCTGCATGGATTTATTAGTGGAAACCCATTTGAATCTGCAGTATTTCCTTCTTTATATATGTATCCATAAACTGTGTATTAAAAACACATTATTAACATGATACAGTATTTCAAATGTTAAGTAACTGATGCAGTGTTTTTTTGTTGTTGTTTTTTTTTTGATGCAGTGTTTTGATAATCTGAATTTTTGGGTTGTGTTAATGGACAGAATTGTGACTACCTGAACATACAAAAATTCTTTTTACTTAAAATATGAAATCAACATACTTCTTCAATTTAAAAAGACTTCTCTAAACAAATGGTACAATTAATAATTACATCAGGATGGTGCTGTAAGTTTAGATCTCTGATTCTATACTCCTACGTGAAGAATTTTAACAAGAAAGATTTTGTTCATTATGCTAATTCAAAAATATTCATATTACCTTTATGTTCCTATTTTTTATTTTATTATTTATTATTATTGCAGTTCTGAATTAAGAACTGGAGATTGCAGCAAGGCAGCGGATGGTGCTGGGAACAGCGAGAGGCCTGCCTAGCTGAGGTCCGTTCTTTTTCTTCTGGCTGGCCTGACTGGGCAGACGGTGCAGAAGGTAGGACTGTGTGTGTTGGTGGGTGTTTTAAAGGGATTTTGAGTTTTAAGGGAGACATTTAGGCATTAATCAAAACCTGTATAATTTTTGAGTAAATAGTTCCTTTTCTTTTCACTATGCGGTGCTATTGAGAGCCATAATTTTAAGGGCGGTGGGCAAAGGAACCTAGAACAGAGGGATCCTGGGGAAAGGAGGGGCATTGTTCCATTAATAGCATCTGGGGCTCCCCCGCAACAGGCCCATAGTTCGGTAACAGGTTTGGTCCCAGGTCGGGCATGTGCAAGAGGCAACTGATCTTTGGTTTTTCTTTCTCTGGCACATCGATGTTTCCACCCCTCTATTCCTCCCTCCTTTCCCCTCTCTAAAAATAAAAGCTTTAAAAAAAAAAAGCAAGCTATTTGCTGGTATAAATATTTATAATACATATATCTAATAAAGATTGTTACCCAGAATATATAAACTACATATACAACTGAATAATAAGTAGGTAAGCAATTCAATTAAAAACCACACATTAGTTTGTACAGTCTTCACAAAGAAGATATATGAATGGCCAATATGAACATAAAACAATACTCAACATCATTACTCAACAGGGAATGTCAATTAAAACCGTAAAAGACACCAGTATAGTGCTCGCCTTGGCAGCACATATACTAAAATTAGAACCATAGAGAAGATTCACATGGCCCCTGTGCTAGAGTGATATGCAAATTCGTGAAGTGTTCCATACTTTGTCCAGGGCCCCAGTCGGCGCCTCACACCCTCTGATTAGCTCGTAAAAATATGAATCATAGCCCAACATGTAGCACTCAGTAACAAAATCGTGACTTTCCACTATTAAAAAAAAAAAGACACCACTATATTCACACTAGAACAGCTAAAATTAACTAGTGATTACAGATAGTATTGGTGAGAATATGGGATAACTTGGAATGCTCATGAATGCATGTGAGATTGCAAAATGGTACACTTTGGAATACAATTTGACGATATCTTATAAAGTTAAACATCCACTTACCATATGATCCAGTAACGCCTAGGGATACCCAAGAAAAATAAAAACACATCTAGATTTAAAAAACCTGTGCATAAATGTTCATAGTGTTAAATGTGGACATGTTTGCGGGGGGAGCCCCAGGTACTACTACTGGAACAACGCCCAAACGCCTTTTCCGCAGGGTCTCTCCATTCTAGGTTCGTTTGCCTGCCGCCCTTGAAATTATGGTCTTTGATAGCAGAATTGTGTGAAAAGGAAAGTATTTACTCAAAAGTTATACACATTTTGATTAATGGCTAAATGTTACCGTTAAATCTCAAAATCCCTTTAAAACACCCACCAACAGCCCTGGCTGGTGCACTGGCCTGCAAACCAAAGAGTTGCTGGTTCAATTCCCAGTACAGGGCACATGCCTGGGTTGCAGGCCAGGCCCCAAGTCGGGGGGGGGGGCGTGCAAGAGGTAACCACACATTGATGTTTCTTTCCCTCCCTTTTTCCCTCCTTTCCCCGTCTACAAATAAATAAGTAAAACCTTTAAAAAATTTTTAAAAACACCCATGAACACACACACTGCTACCTTCCCCCCTTTGCCCAGTCAGGATACCGTCCTTCAGAAGAAAAAGAACGGAAGTCTGGACCTCAGCTAGGCAGGCCTCTTGCGGTTCCCAGCACCATTAGCTGCCTTGCCGCGATCTCCAGTTCTTAATTCAGAACCATGGGGCACCTTCTCATGGCCCACTAGCAAGAGTCCTTTTCCCTCCTTTCCTTCCTGCACGGTCTTCACATTGTTCCCTCATGGCATGGAGCAAACCATCTCTGAGCTCTCATGTTCACACATTGTAAAATGGGGAGGCAGGGGTAGGGGGAGAGCCTCCTGCGTGGCTGCTACATCTTGCTTTTGGTGCTTCCCAAGCAGCGTGGTCAAGAGAGATCGCACTCTGCTCCCCAAACCACCTGGTCAAAAGCCACTAGCATGGCTGCTGCTCCTAGGTCCCAACCCAGGTGGGAATCCTCCCCAGCAACCCCATCCCCAACTCCTTTGGCAGGTGCTACAAATTGGAGGAGCTGCCTTCCCAGTTACATCCGGGGTTCAAGTTATGCCAAACTTTCTGGTTTGTTGATATGTAAAATAACTGTCTTTGCATGAGGTATGAAGCTGTCCCGCTGTTATTGACACGCAAAATGACTCTCAAATGGCCCTACTCCTAGTCAGGTATAAAGCTGGCCTGTTATTGATATTCAGAGCAACTGTCAATGGCCCTCTGCCTGATATTGATGGGCAAAATGACTTCCAATGTCCCTACTCACTGTCTCCTATCCCCCCTTGGCGGGGGGGGGGGGGGTGAGAATATCCTATATTTTTCTTGGACACCCCAATTTCTGGACCCCATTACAAATCCCCTTTGGGGGGACTAGCTGCACCCCGTTACAATAGCAGCATTATTCACAATAGCCAACACTTGGAAACATGCCAAATGTTCTTCAACTTGTGAGTGAATAAACAAACTGGTCCATCCACATAACGCAGTAGTATGCAACAATATAAAGGAAATGATTTATCAGTTCACACATAACATGGGTAAATCTAAAAGTCATTATATTGAACAAAAGAACACTTACAGCCCTGGCTGGTGTGCCTCGGTGGACTGAATGCTGGCCTGCAAACCAAAGGGTCACTGGTTGGATTCCCAGTCGGAACACACACCTGGGTTGGGGGCCAGGTCCCTAGATGGGGATGCGTCACAGGCAACCACACATTGATGTTTCTCTCCCTCTTTTTCCTTTCCTTCCCTTCTCCCTAAAAAAATAAAGGAATAAAATCTTTTAAAAAATATATAAAAAGAAAATGTCCCTAGCTTACACTGAAACGAGAATTTAATTCTAACTACTAGTAAGGTCCGTGTATGCTTCCTAATCAGTGCTTCAGCCCCCACTCCCACCCCGACTTTTGATTCAGTAAGCAGAATTCATCTGAAAGCCTTATCTCATTCTGATTGACCTGGTTGTATGGAATTTTCACTGCCACAGCCAAGCTTCAAGAGCTGGAGTCAAACCCAGGCAAGTCTTTCTGAGCACAGGGGATAAGATTTCCTCATGAAGGAGAAACACAAGAAATACACAACAGCAGCCGCCGCCACCAATACCCCACTGACCCCTGAACTTCTTAGTCAACCCAGATTCCAGGCTTAAAAGTTCAGTGTCTCACGCTTTTCTATGCTGTCTAGGCAACATTCATTTTTTATGGAGTATTATAACATTTTTTTGTGTTAGAAAAATGTGGCAAAGGCCTTGGCTGGTGTGGTTCAGTTGGTTGGAGCGTTGTCCTGTGCACCAGAAGGTTGAGGCTCATACCTAGGTTGCGTGTTCAATCTGTGGTCAGGGTGCATGTGGGAGGCAGACAATTGATGTTTCTATCTCACATAGATGGTTCTCTCTCTCTCCCTTTTCTTCTCTCTCTAAAATCAATAAACATATTTTTTTAAAGAAGAAAAAGTAGATGTGGCAAAGAACAATGTAAGTATATCAAACATATAGTACTGGGTGGCTTTTCATAGGAAAGTTGTCTCTGTCTTTAAATTGGGTCTATTCTTGACCTTAGTTGAGGCCCAGGGTAGGCTGTCCAAAATATTCTCCAACGGCATGGTGATTATTTTTTAATTGGCAGGTTCATTAAGAAAAGGCCAATGCAAGATCAGTCTGACCTCTCTCTCTCTCAGTCCCTCTGAAAGCAGGAGACAAATCCCACGTGAGGCCGTGGCCGGGAAGTTGCTCAGTTGTTTAGAACATTGCTCAGGTCAGGGCACACACACAAGAACGCAACCAATAAATGCAGGAATGAGTGGAACAACAAACTGATGCTTCTCTGTCCCTGTCTTTCTCTTTCACTTCCTCTTCCTCTCTCTAAAATGAATACGTTCAAAACAAAAAAATTAGGGGTAAAAAAAGAAACTGTGAGCTCATCATGTGAAAGGGGCTTTCTCTGCAACTGGAAACGCCACTAGAAATCACTAGAGTTAAAGAATCCAGAGCCGAAATGCCTATATAAACAAAACATGTTGGCTCTTTTCTAATTTACTACCCAACCCCAAACTTTGTTTAGCTTCCTCACAAATAAATAACAAAATATTGATTAGATTCCTTTCTAATGAGAACTACTTTTTTTGGGGGGGGTCCTGTGAGTTTTTCACAAATTTATTTGTTCTTTCTCTAAAAAGTATAAAACACTGGCTGGCTCATTATTTATCAGGGCATCATTTATGATTCTCCCATGCACCTATAATAAATTGGCTTTTTTCTTCTGTTAATCTGGTCTTGTGTCAATTTCATTATTAGTCTAACCATAAGACTTTAAGAAGGGTAGAGGTGGGGGAATTTTCCCTCTCTGCAACACCTTTTTTGAAATGATAAATTTCTCTAGCATGTTTAAAAAGTATCACTTGAGCTTCAAAACTTAGATTTGCATGAGCTTTCCAGAAACACATTATGAAATACGTTATCTTGGATTCCTATTGCTGCTGTAATAAATTGTAACAAACTTATTTATTCTCTCACAGTTCTGGAGGTCAGAAGTTTGAAATGGATCTTAGCAGGCCAAAATCAAATTGTCAACAGGGCCGCATTCCCTTTGAGGACTCTCTGGAAAAACCCATTTCTTTGCCTTATTCGGCTCCCAGATGCCATCTGCATTCCTTTTCTCATGGCTCTTTCTTCCATAGTCAAAACCAGAGGCATAGCATCTTCAAATCACTCTCTCTTAACCTATGCTTGCACCCTTACACCTCCTTCTAAGACCTGCTCACCTTCCTTTTATAAGGATTTATGTGTACAATCCATCCACCCCAAAAATCCAGGGTATTCTCCCCAGATCAGGATGCTTAACTTAATCACATCTGCAAAGTCCTTTGTGCCATGTAAGGTAACATAAGTACAGGTTCCTTGGATTAGGGTGTGGACATTAGAGACCTTTATTCTGCCTACCATGCACAGGGGCATATTATCTCCTATGTAGTTAGGAAAAAAAATGTTATTAAACTAATTATCTGTCTTGTGCATGGAGCTGCAGTGTTGAAATAATGATAATATTCATATATGAGCTAGGATTAGAATAATGCCAATGTTAGAGGATAGAAGGCTGAAAACATTAAGTTCCATTGAATTAAACTTGAATAAGCTGAATCCAGTTAGAGTTTTGTGACAGGAAAAAAAAAATACATCCTGAGTAATTATGTACTTATTTTGTCAAGCTCCTACATGGCATTTTGCTCCCATTCCATCTATGTGATATAAAACAATGAATAACATGTAGATAATTCTCTTTCACATATTTTAGTTGCCCAAATAAGTTCCCTGACTGAAAGAATGAATTGTATTATTTATTCTTTAATAGCAGAGACACTAAACATAGCTTTTGGCTATTTGGAGGTCATTTAGGCTTCACGAAGCTGTTCTGTCATTATTGAGTCATAAAACTTAACAGCCCATGAATACTACCCAAATTCAACACCAAAGGCTAAATAGAATAAAACAATGCATTAATTACAGTCTATTATCATCAGCAGTTGGTTAGAGAAAATGCGGTTATATGGAAACTTCAAAATATGGTTAAAAAAATAAAACACGTTCATAACAGTAACAGCAAAAACATTTTTATTTTTTTATGATTTCTTTCTTCCTTTCTTTATCTATTTATTTATTTATTTCTAGAGAGAATGGAAGGGAGGGAGAAAGAGAGGGAGA